TGACATCCCCGCCACTGCCCTGCGCCGACGCGCTTATCTCTTTCCATGATATAGGGCTGGGAAAAGTTATCCCATGACCCCAGTAGCTTGACTGATTGAACATGGGGGTGGGTGGAGCTATGATGGATATCAGCAGCGGTCCCTCTGTGTTGTCAAGGTGCACTTACAGGAGAAACGTCATCAAAGTAGTGGAAGCCATTCTCGCACGAAGCAGATCTGACAATCGTCGGATGCGTAGTGAGTATGAATTAGGGTTTGGGTTCTAGAAGAAGACCGCAATTGAAGCGAGGTCCGTGATATAAGCAGCGCGTATTATACAGTGGAAGGAGAGACGATGAACACTGTCCAAGGCCAGCCGGGACAGAGTCAAAATGCGCAGAATTGAAGGAGTGTTCTAAAAGCCTAGTCGGGCTGTGCTTCACATAAGGCTCGAGCCGTGCAGTTCAAAGGATTGCGCCTGGCCGCGCGATTGAGAGGCAATATAAGAATCGAGAAGAGGCTCAGGAAGCGCCGTGCCCTAACAATCCAGGGGGCGTTCTGACACCAACAGTGTGCAATGACTGTTGGAGATCACTGTATCATTAGCCGCGGGGATGCGGAAGTTAAAATTGGAAGTTTGGTCGGGAGATTGCAACGTTCAATCACGGCCAATGATGCAGGGTGATGGAGGGTAGGAAGCGCCGACAAGGCGGAGACTGAGCCCAAGGACGATGATGAGAGGCAGAGCAGAAATTGCGGCGCTTGCTGCAGGAGTCGGATGTTTTGAGCCAGACTTCTTAAAAGATTTCACACGTGGGCCAGACAAGTCGGTGACAGCCAGGCTGAACCGGCTTCAGGGCACGCAGACGGCCGGAGCAGATCCAATCGTAGTATGATAGTCACCAAATAGACTCGATGCACAGTGCGTGGACTTGCGGTGGAAATTCAGCAGCTGAATCGATCGTTCGCACGGCGCGCTTATCAAAGATCCACTGGACAGGGCAATAACCACGTCACAAAGGGGATCGCCCCTGCAAGCGAGGATGGATGAGGAGAAGGTTTTCATGGCAACCAGAGGGACGGCCGGTTTAGGGGGAAAAAAGACACGATGAGATCCGAGCATGGTTCCTGGGAGATACGATCCACCGGCCAAAGACTGGGAAAGATGCTGATCACTCCTGGCGAACCAGCGTACACAGGAGCCCATGGGACCACTACTGCCGTCTAGTCGGAACTTAGTTGGTGGAGACCGAAAGAAGCCCGAGTGATTAATATCGATGGATCACAAAAGCAGCCAGCCACGAAACCGATCCGGTGGTTGACTCGGTTGACTCGAGCGTTGCTTGGAGACGCCGGCGAGTGGAAATTCCACGAAGGACCCGCGCTGTATTACCCCTTTGGGTTGCGGTGGCTGGTGCTTGAACCTAACCGTACCGTATTGAACCTTGCTTCGCCACCTGAGGCTGGTGAGTTTCTCCGTGTCGAAAGTAAAAGAATCCTTCCTGATACCTTGCAAGGGAACAGGGGAAAAAGACTATTTCCAGTGCCAAGGCCTGGCCCTGTACTCTCTCACCATGTCAAGTCCAATGTTTGATCCAGTCGTGAAGAGATCTCTTATTCTATTGTTGATGGATGAAAACAGACTGTCGACTCTGTCGACTCTTGAGGAGAACCAGTACATTACGCATACACGCCGATCTCATTTCTCCACGCCACGTGAGAGACCCGCAGGTGCTCGAAGAAAAGAAGCAATCTTACCCAATGATAGGATACCGTGCCTGGCAGCCTGAGGGCTGAACTTGATTGCCTGGCTGTCGCTTCTCCTGTTGCTTGCAGCCGCCAAACCATTGTTGCTGCAGTTCTCCTGCATCTCCCCCAGTTTCATTGTCTCCTGTTGTCCCCATTGTCCTGACGACCAGCCGGATTACAACAACACATCGACAACAACAACATGAGGGAACCGCCGGTCAACCCGAAAGTGATTTGTCAATTTCCATCTCCTCCCGACCCAGTGTTTTCCCATCGACTAACGGAACTAGCACTAGGACAGGGGTCTAGGACAAGACCGGTGATCCATCCTCACGGACCAGCGCGTCTACGCGCCCAGGGGACTGCCCTGTTCAGCCAATCAATTTCCCTGTCGCTGATTCATTTAGATAAGGTCCCAATGGCCTGCTCAGCGCCTCTGGCTGCATCCCAGCGACCAGTCAGTATCCGTCCTTTAACTTCCCGGCTGCCGAGCAACTAGGATCGATCGGCCTCCCACAAAATTCAAGGTTTGGAGGGCAGCAAATAGTCGAAGGCTAATGACAGTAAACCATATCCTCTAGCCTCCAGCATCTCTGACAGATGGCTTACCTCTTGATGTGATATGACTGACCAATCGGTTACCCCTACTTAACTCAGTCGTGAACAGTTCAATTTAGCGGGACGACCCGGGGAGCCACAGCTACTTAGGCTTCGTAGTTCACAGATACAGGTAAAGCGCCAATCATTACCTTCTACGCACCATTGAAAAAAAGCAAAAAGAGCCGAGAGCAACCGATTTGATTCTCACTATCAGAGAAAGATTGACCAGTCACAAAAACCTATTCTAATACGGGCTCTGGTCTCGGGGAAGTCGGCGGCAACACGGCGCTTGCTGCAACGCGTTTCATACCAACCCCTGCCGCTGTTACACAAACGACAGGGTCGGGAAGATGAAGGATAGAGTCTAGACTCAAGCCATGGCCAACCCCTAAAAGGCCGAAGAAAAGCAAAGCTATGGAGGCAACGAATGTGTGGATGATAAGGGACAAGCGCACGAGAAGACCAGAGCCGATCTTCCTCCTCAGTAGTGAAACGACGCTTCGCGTTTATCATACTTTCTGGACACGGCGCCAAGTACGCACTTTAGAATGCCATCGGCACTCAGCGTCTGCCCCTGATCACCCCTCCACGGCACAGTATCCACAATATCACGGAGACGGTCCTTTTTCTGCCTCTCGGCCAGATTGTCATCCAGCTCCTGCAAATACGCCCTTGCCCGGGCATCATTTCCGATCTGAAAGAACTGGATCCCGATTTGCCAAGGCACCGCTTGATAGTCCTTATCGTCCAGCTTTTGAGCAACTCCTGCAATGACACTCTCCGCATCGTCTGTAAACTCTCCGTCCGTAATCGCAATGATGTTTAATGGTTTCATGAGTTGGGCCGAATCACACGATCCATCGCTCCTTGAAATTGCTTTCTGCAGGTTTCGCATGTACGGAGTGAGGATATCGTTAAGTCGTCGGCCAAAAGGCGTCGGGCCGTTTGGATACACACTCCCAAAGATCTCACGAACATCTTCTGCTGTTTTTATATTCATATACCCACCCTTCACCTTATGAGCTCCTTCGCGGTGGTGGTTGAGAAAATAGACGTCGATTCCATCCTGATCATACTGCGTACAAATGGGTGCGATAGCAGCAATAGCATTTTCGGCCTCCTTCCAGCGGTTACCCATCAACATGCTCGAACTATCATCCACGATGAAGATCGTATCAAAATCTCGCAGGAAAGAGTATGGAGAGTCACTGCTCCCCGAGATAATAGAAGGAGCAGGAGCAGGGGTTTGCGATTCATACGGCGGAGGGGCCCAGGGATCAGGAGCGTGACTGCTATTCATGGCTGCTTTTCCAGTTGACCGGGACACTGGACTTCTAGATACAGAGCCGGAGAAGTTGGAACGATGCCTGCTCTGTCGAGAATGAGAGTGGCCCATATTTGATGCTTCTTGATCAGTATGAGCTTGATCCGGGTACTGATACTGCTCTTGATCCTGATGCTGGTCCTGACCTTGACTCTGGCGACGTCGTAGCGAATTTCCTCTGATAAGATTTGATAAAGAGTCGATACTCTTCCGCATAAAGGGACCAGGCATGTTCATAAATGGTTGGTGGCAGGAGCGGAAGAAAGGCAGGTGTGACCGAGTAGAAGATGACACAATACCGTTCCAGCAGGCAAGTAGGTAAGGCTGATGTCAGTGGGTGGAATATTCACTGTGCCAGTCACCAGTAACTGAACAATAAATGAGTACTGAGTAAGATCCCACCTTGAAGATGGCAACTACTACCTACGCCAGCACCAGACCCAACATATATATACTAACCCAAAAGCACAGTCTCTGGTCCAAGGCAGATTCAGGTGAATTTATTTGAATCGGAACTTCCCATTGTATCCGTAACTACATACTTCAATACGATATCATTTCCATAGTCATGATAATAGTACCTACATCACCCTAAACAGATAAAAAGCATGCATACGAACATCATACATCATACACGGAACTAAGCGCGCATTCATCGCACAAGGCAGAAAACCAAGAGAGCCTAAGGCAGACAAGAAAAGTCTTATGTACGACTTTTCAAGGTTTGCTCCGCCATTAATTTCCACAGTCAGTGAGTACTTATGTGGATGTGCCACCCACGATATTAGTGTTTCTCCCGTGACACTGCCCCAATATGTAAGGAGTATACCTACCCACTTACCTAGCTATCTAATATTCCACAGATGAAGGATTCTGCATGCGCAAGAGTAATCTGACTAGTATCTAGTCTAGCTGATAAATGCTTCAAGGCCTAGCCTTACAAGGATAACAAACTCCATATTAGCTAGCGGAGCAGGTATCCTGCATACATGCATGCATGCACGCAGGCATGAGGCGTGGTACCGGCACAGGGCAAATCGGAGTTACTGGAATAATTATTAGAGGAGATGGGGGGCTGTGTAAGTAAATGAACCCCTCCTTGCGCTTGGTTTGGTGATTTTATTTGTAGGGAAATTCGAAAATTGAATGGAAGGTTCCGTGCACAGCCTTTCGGGTGTTGAGTGGTTGCGGGGGAGGGGCTTAATTGTACTACGGCAAAGTACTAGTAGTAAGGCTTAGACTGAGCCCGTTGTTGTCATGGACACAGCCCCCATCGGGCACTGTGGACCGTGTATCTTGACAGGCTGGGAACGGTACATCGATAGAGGTGAGCTGGTAGTATTTATTTGTGAATGAAAATGAAATATGGTAAGTAATTATGTAGCAACTATGAAATCGAGGGTTGATCTGATTGTGGCAGTAGGTTTGATGTATACATTATCTCGGTTCGTGACTACTATGTAGATCCTGTCTCATGTGAAAGTGTTCCAGAAAAAAAGTACTATATACTAGTGGGAATTAGTGTCAGCCCACATACACTGTATCAACGCCATCAGACGAATTAATCGCGACTATTTACACGTGGCCTGCCACTTTGTGGGTAATGTCGCAGACACTCACTCCACCTGCGTGGTATATGTACTCAGCGAGGCTCCCGTCCAGTGTTTGCCACTGTTATCGGTGCTGAAATTGGCTCCAGTCGAGCCGATTGAAAGGCTATCGTCCTCCGGGAGGGCCAGCGTGTCAAAGACACCATCTTCGGTCATCAGGAGTTCAATCAAAGCCAGCGCCTGATCAATCCCCATGCCATGTCCGATCAGCTGGAGACAGTCAAGCACCCAGCGGCGTAATGGGTGATTCAGCCCTCTCGTTGCGGCTGCCATTGACAGCGGCCAGAGGAGCACCAGACCGCGAACGAAGCCTTGCTGTGAGGGTATCTCATAACGAGAACTCATTTCCGCTTGTCCGGTCGCGAGCTTGAAGACACTATCAGTAAAATAATAAGGCACACTGGCGCAGACGTCGCTGGCGAGCTGTCGGGCAGTATTGCGAATCTGAGAGGTATGGGTGACAAGATCGGCAGGGAGGGGTGAGCCGGAGTTTAGTTCCCGGATACATGTCAAGATGAGATCGCTGATGATGATCCGTGCGACTCGGTATTGGTTCCACGAGTTGCAGATCCAGAAGTCAGTGTACACGTGATAGATGTTGTTATAAGGCTTGGGACCCCAGTTGAGAGTAGGCCAGGGATCTTGAATGGTGGCATATGGGAAGTTGTCTGGCAAAGATGTGAGCCATGACATCAACTCAGCCTCGACGGCGTATGCAGATTCAAGCATCTTCTTCCGGTCGGTTATAATTTTTTCCTTGATGTCAGCTCGCAGGTTGGCTAGCCGGCCCATTATGTTAAGTAAGCGGTCACCATAGGCCACTGTATGCGGCCGTAGAAACATGGCAACTTTGACACAGTGAAGAACTGAGTCGGGCACGTGCGCCTCCCTTTGGAGACAGCTTATAATCTTTTGTAACGTAAGTCAGTCAGTCGCTCCAGGTAAGGAGTCAAACAAACTCGCTGAACCTACAATTTGATATCGCAGCTGCAAAAAGAGCTGCAGCCCATCTGGGTCCTGAAGCTGCTCTACACCTCGCAGCTCTAGCAGCGCTGCAGCGCCAGTTATGTGATTTGTCCAATTGGTAATAAAGCGAGAACCTCTACTAGTGATCACCTGGGAGACGTTAGGTCTGGGGTCATCAAACAAGCAGAACTGACTCACTTCGAAGATAGCCAACATAAGCACAGCGGCAAGCGTTGCATTGTTCTTAGCTTGCTGTTGATCTGCAACGGCCGTGGTAAGGAGCTGTAAAGCATTTCCGTACTCCTTCTCTGCGGCTATTTTCATCGGTTCGGATTTCCTGATACGCGAGATCATTGCTATACCAACAGAAGCCAAGCTGGTCATCAGGGCGTTGTGGCTAGTTGCCGATGCCCTGCGCAAGATATCAGGGTTTGCTTCAATCTTCGACCAGAACGATCCAATCCAAGCATTCTGCCGAAGGAAATAAGAAATAGCTTCATTTTTTGTCGGTTGGTACGATGGCTGCAATACCAGGGGCTGTTGTATGGCGTGCTGCTGGACAAATTGTGGGGATAGATACTCAGGACCGTCGAACTCAAACGGTTCCAGATCGCCGGTCGTTGAAGATGGATTACTGTCTGCCGATGATAACACTGGGGCTGGACTAGGACTGGCAGTTGCTATGCCGGTGCCACTAGGGGAAGAAGCTGGGGCGCTACTACTACTACTAGTAGTAGTAATAATAGTACTGCCAGGACCGGTCTTTCTAGAAGACTTGGCTCTGCGCGCCGTTGTCCCGGTCCGCGCCTTCCGGATAACCTGCTGGCTCTCATCCCGAAACATCAAGGATAGTTGGTCGCGGTATCCGGGGCAGACCCGGTTGCCCTTGGCGCATTGTGAACAGGTTGGACGGGTTTGGTCGCACCGGATTTTGCGAGACCGGCATTCGCCGCAGCCCTTGCTTGGTTTGCCGCAGAAAACCATGTCTAATGGTAGACGAGCGGGGCGTGCACGGAATGCAATGTGGCGCTATGGACTAATCGGACTAAAATGCAGCGTGAGTATACATTCTGACCTGCCCAGATTTGGAGGATAGCGGGGGCCAGTTGACATGCAGCTGAATCGGGTAACCAGTGCGAAGCTCAGGGGATGGGGAGGTTGGGGTTTCAACCTTTGTACAGTAGACAGACACTGGTAGTGGTGTCACATCGGATACAAAACTATCTGACGATCTTCATGTCTGGGATTCTCCGACGAGGAGCGAGGAATATGAAAGAAGTGAGGAACATCGAGGCGCTGAGGCTGGTCGCTGCTGGTCGAGATGCCTGAGGCGCAGCGATCCCCGCGTCCACGTGCATCTCACCCCTAACTTGATCGAGTATGCCTTGCGATGGTCGCGTTGCTTAGCATTTGACTTTTAAGTGCTTGTTAATGAATGTCATTGGGTGGGCTTGCTATCCCATGCTTATACAGATTTTTAATCATCCTTCTATTTTAAACCTGCTGCTTACTCCTACGTCACTTAGGCGGTGCTTATGTTCCAGCTAAGTTGGTGCTAAGCTGACTAGGCCTCTGGAGGCACACATATTCCACTTGTCAAAAAGTAAGCATGCAGTCATCATATAAACAAATATGTGGTGTATATACAGTATAGACTTTTCACATCATTACTATTACCAATAGGTGATCCCTGGCCATCAGGAATCAGAGAGCTGGTACTCCTTTGGAATCACAGGCCACTCGTCCACACCATCCAACAACGCCAATGCCATGCCGCCACTTAGATGCACCTGAATGTGGCAATGCAGCAGCCATGCACCGGGGTTTACAACATGGTACCTAATTGCCAGCCACGTGTCTTCGGTCGCTGCAGCCGGAGTGATAAAGGTATCCCGAATCTGAGGGGTCTTAAGGTTGAAATTCTCCGGAATATATTGCATCGCTTCAGCCACAGAGGAGTAATTCCACGCGCCATTGCCTTGACCGATTACATAGAATTTATTACTGTGCTTGTGAATTGGGTGAGGAGGCTGGATCTGACCGTTCACATGGAAGATCAAGTCGACCCAGGTGCCATTGAGCGTCTTGACCGTGAGATCAGGTTTGGCGGTAGACGGGTAGAATAGCAAAGGCGATGCGGCCTCCAGAGAAAGCGGGAAACTGGAGTTGCCCTCAGTCCACCGGTAGGAAGCATTGTAGTGACCAATTCTCAGGATATGGGTCGCATCAACCTCTGAAGAGGGTGTCTCTACAGGGAATGGCATGATAGTAGTCTCGTTCAACAAGGTGTAGTTGGAAGAAACAAGTGATCCGTGGATGTCGATTGAGGGCACCGAAGAGCCCTTCTGGGACCTGATCGGTGTGTTGTATGTCAGGACCGCAGTCGCGTTGATGACTTGATTGATACCTGAGTTCGCCGCACGAACCGTATAATTACCAGCCGGCTTGTCCAATTTGACCAAAACGGAGTAGCGGTTTCCGTTGGCTACAGTAACCGCGTCCACCAAAGTAGGCTCAATGTACCGTCCGTCGATAGCATAGACATACATCGGGTGCTCATCAATGGAAAAGGTCAACATCGACACTCCAGCCGCGCTGATCAAGTCATAACTGACATATGTGGTAGACGGATCAACTAGAAGACGCTCAGTGCCACCATTACCAGGGCGGCAGCCATAAAACATAGAAGGCGGCATAGCGCTGTAGTTGTGAGAAAACATGCCTTGAGCAGATACTAGCGTTGGCGGAAGGCATCTGGATAACTCTGTTAGACCCCGTTTTACATCTCAGGTGTGTCACACATACCCCGTGTCAGTGAGGCTTAGGTTGCCTATGAGCTGCTTCTGCTCAGCGCTGGCCAGCTCATTGAAGGCTTGCTGACCCGGACAACTGATCGATCCTTTGCCGTTGATAAGGACCGCATTGATACATATTGCGTCTAGTCCTGTCGCTTCCTCCGCACTCCACAGCTCCTCCGAGGTCAAGAATCGCCAGTCGGACAGCATTATAGGTTTAGTCCCCCGCTCAGCTGCTTGCATGGCTTGGAGCTCGCTTGTGTTGTTCGTGATTAGACGGAAAGGTTTCTCCACTGATTCGTTTGGAAGGATGTATATCGCGCCATAGAGGCCGTCACAAATCTGACCTCTGGTGTGGGCATGATAGAAATAGCTTCCATAATTCGTCGCCCGCCATTTGTAGAGGAAGCTGTCGCCAGGCGCGATAGGTCTTTGCGATAAACCAGGGACGCCGTCGGACCAAGGAGTGTCAAGCTGCTCGATACCTTGAAGGGGTCAGTCTAGATTATTGCACATAATAAGTAGGACTTACCATGAAAGTGAACTGTGGTATTTGTAGGAAGGTGATTGGTCACCTGAAACTCGACATCATCCCCTTGCCGCAACTGCAATACTGGTCCGGGAAATTGGCCGTCCATGAGGATCATCTTGCGAGGGATACCTGCCGGTGCCCAGTCCTCCCAGGTCAGGGTGACATTGAAGCGCACTGTGTTACCGGTGGCACGCACGTGGAGATTGATGCCATTGGCCCATGATAGCAGAGAGAAGACTGATGCCAATAAGGCCAGTCCGAATTGAAAGGGATGCATTCCAAGCAATGAAGGCAGAATTGAGCACGATGGCAGCCGCAGCCAAAAAAAAATCCAACGCCGAAAGGTGAGCCAAGTGGCTCACGCTGCCTTATATGTCCCATTTCATCGAAAGGGGCATGGAAGAAGCAATTTAGATTGCGGCTCTCAAGGTCTGATTGCCATGGCTTGGTTTTCACTTTGTGTTCGCGAACGGGTCTGTGGCTTCTTTCGCATACTCTGGCGAAAAGTTCCGACGAATTGAAAGGCCTGCAGGTGTTGCTTTCATGACTCAGTAAGCTCACATAGCTGGCGGGCTGAGGGAAAACCTTCGATGAAGCTGATCGGGACTACTCCATACAAAGAATCTCCACCGCTCTCATTGGGTGAGCTTAGTTCTGTGGGGCTTTGAGCGTCGAGCAATTACCCTTGCTGGACCAGAACTGCTGCTCAGACCCACTGAGTTATTGCAATGATCGTCGTCGATGGTGAGCTGGCCCCTCGCAGGACCTGTAATAATGTGTAGAACTGTGTGTGGATAGAATTATTAACGAAGGACCTGTTCGTGACCTAGCTATCGGGCCGCTATCCGAATTCCAGAACACGGGCTTTGATCGGACAGGTTTATGTTCCATGCGGGAGAGCCTGAATCTGCTGTCTTTGCATGACTCGCTCAACAACCGAGAGTTCTCCGGTTTGCTTTTCTTCACACGGCTATCTGCAGACCAGGCCAGCGTGCAAATCGTGACAAAACCGATATCGCTGTAGTCAGTCACTTAAAAGCGTCTGTCATCTGACAGCTTTGAGTTGTGGCACTAATTAGTGGAAAGGCCCATCTTCTCATCGCGACGGGCATTTGCACTATCATTAGGGGTGAGAAGCAGACGTGGAAAGCAGATATCCCAATGGGGAAAGCTCTTCGGATTTTTCAGGCATCCCGTGGAAGTGTCAGCTGTGCATTGGCATCAAAAATCACTATTGGACATCATGCATGCATTCCCGATAACCGAGCAGAAAGTCAATAACACCCGAGGGTCTGAGCCACCGCCAACTCTGAATTCTAGGCTACACAACAGCAACATTCCACCTGCCATGCCATTTTTTACTGCGCGATAAACCCCCTATAACTGTCAGCAATAAGTCATCCAGCAAAACCTTCAAGAAATCGACCTACCCATCCACCACCAATGCAGACCCATACATATAGCTACTCATTGGCGACAGCATGAACGTAATCGTATCCGCAATTTCCTCTACATCCGCCAATCTTCCCACTGGGACTCTCAACACTTCCTTCCGCATCACCTCATCAGCCATCTGATCGATCATCGGTGTCTGAACATAACCAGGACAGATAGCATTGATCCGAATCCCCAAAGGCGCGTAGACAATCGCATCAGCCTTGCTCATCCCGACCACACCATGTTTCGCAGCCGTATACGAAACGAGGGGTATGTTAGCCGGCGTCGCAACAAGACCATAAGCAGATGCCACGTTGACAATGACACCTCGTGATGAGCGAGGACTGTAGAGCAAGCAAGTGCACACATCACACATTAGCACTAACCGAACCCCATCATCATCATCATCCCAGAATATAAAATAGGACAAAAGCCTCACCTATCATCCCTCTTCTCCTGTTTCATCATAACCTTAATCTCCTCCCGACTAGACATCCACACCCCATGCAAATTCACCCCTAACGTCTTCTCCCAATCTGCAATCTCATGGTCCCCCGAATACGCCATTGACCCAGCAATCCCAGCACTGTTGACCGCATAATCAATCCTCTCGAATTGCTGAACCGTCTCTGACACAGCCTTGTGGATAGAGACCGGATCGGTCACGTCAATGTTCAGCGGGAGCGCTCTCACTCCACTGAAGCGGGCCTCGATATCCTGGGCGGTATCCTGTGCCGCGGCGAAGTTGATATCAGCGATAGCGAGTTGGCTGACACCATGTCGGGCGAGGGCATAGGCTGTGGCTTTTCCGATGCCTGTGTATAATATCAGTCAGTTTGCTTGAGGGGTAAAGTGGGATAGGTGATACAGACCTGATGCGGCACCGGTAATAAAGGCGACTCCCTGGAGCATCATTGTTGGGATCGATACACTTTTGGGAGGAGATGAAAGAAAAGATGCTTACGCGATAAGCTTGTTCTACTGGATTTTGAAATTTATCGGAAGATAGAAGGCCTGCAAAAGAGACCTTCAGCTTGATCCGGGGGTATCACGAGTCAGCCCGTGTGACTATCGCCGGGATTTCTATTATTGGCTGTCTACATAAGTTGCAGGGATAGAACCGGTACTGTGGCTATAGTTCCGGCCTGATAAGATAGATGTGCTGAATGGTAGCGGCAATACTCAAGTAATTATTGGACAAGCAAGCTTACTTCTCTAGGGAATCAAGTCGAACTAGCAAGGTTTACAGATCCTCATTCCTAAGGGGGCAAATATGGCCGGAGGTACGTATCGAATTATCTGTCAAGTCAATGTCACGGTCCAGAATCAGAGCGGGTGTAATAATCTCATTAGCATTCCGATTAGCTGATATCTATCTAGCAGAGATGAAGCTATGAGGATCCCACGTAAGCCTCGAGAGCACCCAGCCAGTTGAGCTTCTACCGAAGACGAACCACAGAAAACAGCAGGTAAGAGAGACCCAATTCAGAAATTCAGCTTTCCATGTTGCTCCAATAACCTTGAAGACTGTCTCGAAAGGGAAAGCTATGTGAGAGTGAAAATAGCAAAGCAACTAGTCCTCGGCATCTCCAAAAATCAATAACAACGCAGTGCATTATCCGGAGAAGATCACCAAAGCCTCACCGTCCTCGCATCATGTGTTGACTGGTGCTACTGACAATGAACACAGGATTGGCATTTGGGACCAAATGCTGGGCCTCATTCATTTGGAGTTTCGATTTCGGGACGAACTCAGGTGCATCTCCTCGAAGAGTAGAGCTTGGGTAGCCTTTTCTGGTGTTTCCGCTCGCCCCTGCTTCGAGACCCGGGAATCTCTCCCCTTCTCTTAGGATTCCGGGCTGCGCTGGTCCAATAGCCATAGGCCCAGTACCAGGCAAAGCATAGGGTCCAAACGGCATAGGCGACATGGTGTACATCGGTGACAAAGCACGAGACTCGGGGCTGAATTGAGGTCCATTAGAAGCTAGACCAGGTGCTTCATACATCTGGAGAAAGCGCTTGTCAAAAGCCTTTTCTATATGACTATTCGAATTCGAGGTTACTTACCGGCTGAGGGCCAGGGAAACGGTACTGTTCCATCTGCAGTCTGTTCCAATTCTCCATTTCCTTCTGCTGGTGATCCATTCGCATGGGATGATGGTTTGCCTGTTGCAAGTTCGGGCAGAAAGTGTTATGCACAGGTGCACTAGAAACAATAAAGGGCTCAGGGCGAAAGGTGTTCTGACGCATAGTCGACGGATCACAATACAAGCTTGGTTGGCAGGGCTCCTCCTGTTGTCTGCGGTATCCCCGTCTTTTGCTGCTCTGATTGGCCATGATGGCTTCGATATGACCCTGGTATCAGGAGAAAGTCAGCATCTCAGGCATGTGTAACTTATCACGAGGGCGCCTCAACAAAAGAATAAGTGGGCACTGAAGCTGTTTTGCGAAGCTCAAGGTTGAGCTTGGGGCTGAGGGGATAGAACATGGTGTAAGTGATAGTGAGAAGACGTGGATATCGCTAGGATGCAGAACAATGGAAGGAACGAAAGATGGTGAAGGTCAAGATAGTCGACCCGATACTGTTAAGGGAGCTGAACAGACTCACCTAGTAGTTCACTTGAGCTTACCAGCGTCAAGTCAGACTTGGGGGCGTACGTAGGGAAGGAACCTGGCCAGGGTGTCAGTGTAACAAAGGAGAGTGCGATGCTTCGTTGCGGTAGAGAAAGAAGCGAAAGAGAAAGAGCTTGTCTGCACCAGATGAGTGTAGCGAGTCACTCTCATTCATTCATTTATTCATTCACCATGTAAACACAGGCCTGAGGCGCCTACTTCTCGCTTGCGTTGGTCGCGCCGCGGTGAAGTTCTTCAGATCGCACACTGCCTTTGTTTCTACAACTCCGTCCACTACGCCTTAGCCTGGCCGGTAGGCGCCGGTCAGGCTGGGTGTCATGCACTAAATCATCATATCGCATTAGGTATGTTCCTCATCGACTTTCTGAATCCCATCGGCTCACTTTTCTAGCTCTTGGTGTTCTCAGTGACAAATCCGTTCTTTCAGGGACCAAGTCTGTCATTTCTTGTGCCCAGATAATGAACAGTAGTAGAGAGGACAAGAATCAGAACCAGGACTGGAAGACCAAGGAGATGTGAGAACGCTACGAATGAATACCAAGATCACAGCAATTTGGAAGGTTATCTGTATCTCTCTGACTTAGTCTCATTCTCTCCTTTTGATGACTTTCTTCCTTCTCTGCCCACCACGACAAGGTGTGGGACAGCAACAACAGGATAAGGAAAGAGGGACAAGGGAAGATACAGAATCACGGATTGTTAGTAAGCATATAGAAATGACTTTCACATAGGTTCACTCAGTTCACACACTGATTGGCAGAAAGCAAAATTTAATCTACGACGACTCCATCATAGCTCGAAGCTTGGCCTCGATCGACTCCCTCTCCATCATCTTCTGGTTGAGGAACTTAGAAGTATCCTCAACAACCTCTCCCAGCCGCTGGTAGTCGACGAGCAGCTTCTGCACTTCAAGAGCCTTCTATTTACATTATCAGTCATCTGTACAAGATTGAACAGTGGTATAAAGACTTACTTTCAAGTACTGGTCTCTTTGTACACTTGTCTCTGCTTCTCGGACTTTTCTGCAGACGGCACCACTGAGTGCATCGAACTGTGCGCAGGTCCCAACCAGACCATTGGCGGATGGTCCGGTCTGCACTCCTGCATCACTAGTTGCGTTGCTCTCTGGTCTGCGAAGTTCTGTAGAGCGAGACAGAGCAAGTCGAGGCATGGTCATGGTTTCGTGATGCCCGGTCATGGCATTCTTACTGCGTGTGGCGAAAGCTGCTGGCTGAGCATGGCGGCTTGGTGAGTCCGGAGTGGCGGGCTCCATTGGTGTCGACACTGTCTGCTGAAGATATGCGGGAGTGTCTTGGCTTGGGCTAAGCTCGATGTACTTTCTCCCAAGTTGCTGCAACAATGAGGGAGTAGGCACAGCTGTTGGCGTTGATATAGCTCCTAGCGAAGTCATTGGGTTGCCTGCGTTCTTCCTGGACTTCCTGCCCTTGAAAACCGTCTTGCCGGCACCACTGCCGCTGCTTCGCAATTTCGATTTGTCAGTTGGGCCCCTACGACTCTTTTCGGCGCCCCGGGTCTTCTGCAACATGCTGCGGATGCTAAAGGCGGTCGGGGCACTTGTATTTGAAGTTCTGTCTCCGTCGTGGGAGACGGGGGGGAAGATCTCATCGAAAGTGGTAGGAGGTCCGTGACTATTGTTTTCGGCTGGGTGACCACGCAATGGCTGGAGAGAGAATGATCGTGGTGGATGCCTTCCGGAAGCTTTGCCATCCTCCGTGGCCTCTGGCATTGAATTATTGCGAGATATCGAGGCACGGGGAGGGCTGACAGGCTCCGACAAGGTGATAGTCAACTCTCCTGCTCTCACAAGTGTGGTCGTTGGAGTGTGTGTTCCAGCGCCGGGAGCAGGTAGTCTTTCGATGTATTGTTGGCGTGGCATGAGTGGCGGCTCATGGCTTGCACGCGTTTCTTGTGACGAATACAACTCGACTCCTGCGCCAACGTTCTGAGTGTATCCTCTGGGGATACGAATGGAGTGGGCCGGATGGGAGTGCAAGGCGGTATACTTGTTCACCCCCGCGTCTCGCCAGAAAGTGGAATCATCTATTCGTGGGTTAGCATGAGTGTTGCAATATCTGGCAGCATGTACTTACTAGGGTTATACGGCGATGGATAAGAGATCGCCTGAAACGGGTTGAAGTATGGGTAACCACTCCGTGTGGCTCCTAAAAAGTAATTAGCACAGAGTAGCAAGAATGTGAAAACACCTTTGTGTTAAGACATCTCGAACTTTGATGCGTAGCAATCATAAGCTCAGGCACCAATATACCAGGCTTACAACTACCGACACCATGTCCCGTCGTAAGATGCTTCCAACAGACACTGCATCCGAATTTCACATAATACCAAGACAAAAGATGTTTCTTACCTCTAGTATCCTGACGACCACCTTCACGACCCTGATTTCTGGTGTTCTCGGTAGGAGAGGTAACATCCTCAAGGGGAGTACTAAAAGAAATCTTCTTCGAGATGAAAGACATGACTAAGGGACGAGATGTTAAGTCTATCAGAAACAGGTTAAGGTCAAGATCAAGAAAGATACGAGAAGAGAAGTATGCGGTTTCAGAACACGTAACGGTGTCTGTAGGATAGAAAGCTGATAATCCCAGTGGGAGTATCTCAACCGTTTTGAACACGCGGAAGTGGTGAAACAAACAAGTATGCTGATGTTCTCGATAAAAAGAGGAGAAGAAGAGATGGATGTAGTCTCAAAACACGTAACTCTGTGTCCATACAAAACGAAGCTGGGTACCTCAGCGAGAGTATCTCTGCTGCCTTGGAGATCAGAAGAAGATGGGCAGGAGTAAGAAGCAACTATGATGATGTCGTTCTTGAGAAGGGATGTAGACGAGATGTGTTTGTAGATGAGAGAGAATAACAGGAGCAGCAGAGGATAAACGCGATTTCTAGCGTGTTTTAGGGGAAACAGGAAGTGTAGAGAGATATTATTGTGTTCAAGTCTCGAGAAAACAAGGCACGGCACGAGAAATAGAAAGAGAGAACTAGACACGAGATGATCTTGATCTTCCAAAGCAAGCAAGCAGACAGAAGAGCTAAACGGACGTGCTTTTCAACAAGCACAGGGAAACCGATAGATGCAAGACGAAGGAATGGAAGCTATCGAAGATGCCTGAGAAACGAAAGTAGTCGGACTGAAGAGAGTGAGGGACGGACGTGAGTGTTGTCTGGGCAAGAGGAATCGATCAAAAAGACCTTTCCTGCTCAGTTTGGTCAATAAGCAAACAAAAGCTGGGTCTCCCTGCAAAAAGACGAGACAAGCGAGCGTAAGATTGACGGCAAGAAACAAGCATCGAGAGGGCTGTCCATAGCATTCACCGGGAGGGTAGGGTGTGCTGCCGTAATGGTCTCTGATACCAGGTGACTAGACCCAGTCTGGCTACCAGGTTGCATGTATATGCTCCTGGCAGGCTAAAAAGACCAGAAAGATCCACAAGGTAGAGAGATTTCAGACTGCACTTGCATCCACTCATATACTCAGTGGCCATAGACAATACTCCTTTGACTAACCATGGGAGTCGGAACTTGACAGCATATGTTCTGCAAAACGGAGCTGTCTGGACATCCTAGGTTGGCCAACTCGATATCTGTTTGCCTCCGGCACCATTCGCGATGGCCGTGCCTCTATGGCAGGGAGCCTGTATCAGAACTCAGCTAATTCCTTTCATTGACATTGGAGACCGAGGGTCCCATACCCTATGCCATAAGCTTCCAAGCTGCTTGTTTTTAGAGTGCTCCCGGGCAAGATACAATTGACTGACAATAGCTTCCGTCTCAGGATCCAGCAATATCAAGTCTTGGTGCATCTTTATTGTTGCTCTTTGACTAGGCTTCGAATGATTCGGCTTTTATATGCCACCTCTTGCGATAGTCGTTCCACGTATTCCATATTCCTTCGCGTCGTGAGTGCTACCATAAGCTCGGGGGTATGAAGTGCATAGTGATATCCGGCACAAAGCTGGCAGTTCCTACACCATGGACTTGACATTGGTGGTCGATATGTGGCCCTTGTCGTCTGATACACTGAGTCCTTAGGCTCCAGGCATGAAAACATAACCAAAGGGAACAAGATTATGTGGTTGTCGTCGCCGTGGTTGCTTCCTCCTAAGCCTAGACTTCTGTCTCGCCATGGGACACAAGTCTTTCCATTAGGGCTATCAGAGGCCACCATCAAACTGGAAGTATTGCCTTTATAGCCGGGGAGCTCCGCAGCCAACATCAGTGCATATGCAGCCACCCTACTATCATGGTTAGTGATCATCCCCTATTTGCAGTACAAGGGCTAAAGCTATCCAGCAAAGACCTACTCAGCAGACAGCCCTCTGCACAAATCAACCTTGCCTGTACGCCTGCGTGAGGACGCGTCGCCAGCACGGAGATATGCTGTTCCCGTCCAGGTCAAAGAGAACCAGAACAACATGCCCTGAAAAGGGCTTTGATACTCGAACAACGGAATAAAGGCATGGAGGGTGACTGGGCTATAGCCACAATCACCCTCCATGGCTTTGATAAGGAGGAGAGAAAGAGAAGACAAGGACTCAGTGATTTTAAATTGTGCAAGGTAGGCAAACTTGTCCTTCACTTTTGTGAATATACGGCAACTTAGGCGAGGTGATTCCCGAATAGGAAGCTTTGCAGTGACGGGAGGCACGCCTGGGGAATGGTTGGCACTGGGTTAGATTAACTTTGTCTGCTGGGGTTAATGAGCTTGTTGGTGTGATCTCTGTTCACCTGGTTAGGTTTGAAAGCAGTGAACCAGCGATCCGTGCCATAAACCTTGGTGTAAAGGACGAACATATGTGCCTTCATGCATTCTAGTGTGATGCTTCGTGAACTCGTGAAATTCAAGATGATTTTCTCTTCTCTACTCTTTACATTGAACTTATGATATGATCTTTTCTGGAAGGGTCTTCAACACCTAAGTACACAATGAGTGGCCTCCTGACTCCAGATCAGACATTGACCACCCACTGTCTAAGTAGATTCAGTATCCTCCACATTAGTATGATGTCCACGCTTTCGTTTACCCGCCGCCTGCGTATTATCGCTCGTCCACTCGCTAATCTCCCACTCGAAACTGGTAGACTGGTCATCACTAACCCCAACGCCGCGCCTAGTCTTCATCATCCTTCCCAGCCGACTTCCCTCCACCATCTCTTCGAACCACGGGATCCCGCCCAGTGTGCCATGCCTGTAGCTCCGTGAGACCGCCGACCTAGACGGGATGACCACATCTGATGGATGGGCGCTTTGTTGAGCTGTAGCCGGACTAACGACTACCTTCTCTTTCCGCTTCGCAGGCTGCTCTTGTTCCTCGTCTGCTTCCCTCTCCTCATCAGAAGAGTGGGGTGGCGATTCCGGAGGCAACAGTTCCAAGTCTTCCAACATGCGCTGGTCATCACCAAACAAACTTCCTATCGACACTGACATATACTCCGCTTCCTCGCGCGGGTCCTCGCTCCAGTATGTGAGTGGCGTTCCGCAGTAGCCGCAAAAGACCCGCTGAGTATGTGGCGCATGACGCGGGGAGAAGATGCGGCGGATGGTGCTGTGTGTTTCATCGGGAAAATAGGATTGGGTGTGAGATTGGTACCAGGTTAAGGGGACACGAAGCCAGGCTGTCAGTGGAGCTGCGTGGAATCTTCCTGTCCAGGTTGTGGTAAGTGCTCTGGTATATGTATATATGACCTAGGTGAAGTGTGACGTACGATTGTCTCGGCTAGTGTCGAAGTAGACGTGGGCGTAGTCAGTTATATTGTCGGACAGTCGAATTTGGTATTGATTCCTCCCGCATTGACAGGAGCCGCGTAGATGCTCGTGACTGGCCATGTTGTCGCATTTATCTCCGATCGGGGTTTGCTTCGCCGTTGCAGCTAATAGTTGAAACAACGCTAGTGTGAAGTCATAGATCGAGTGTCGATCGCGATCAATTGATGAGAAACTGAAGACCGAGAGGATACAGCCTCAAGGATAGGCTTCTAAACCTAATTGTATCTCTAGAATGTTGGGAGACAGCAAGGAGACATATAATGGGGAGGTGCAGGAGAAATGGTATCGGAGGGAATCTAGAAGCAACCTGAACGATCGATGACGTTACGTGGGTGAGGCCGAGATCCAGGGACTGGCCAGTTGGCGGTAGTGCTTCGGATTTGACGGCTAACTTCTGAAGTCGATCGCGGTTGTTCCCATTAATGGACCTCCGCTCCATTGGTCCAGAAACCTAGCAAGTTCCCCCCTAACGAGCTGGGGTCTGCGATGAACCTCTAGCAGTCTTGTCTTCTTTCTCTTACATATCTCATCTATTTCTTCATTCATTTTCTCCCACTCAGTCTCTCTCTTCCATTTGTGCTGTTGTTTATCTGCTTTCTCTGTTCTTCTCTTCCCCGCAGACTACCCTGTTTGGTTGTCACATGAAAATCCCACCCCAGCAAGAAGCACATGATAGTCGTTGTATGAACGACAACAATCGCATTTTCTCGCCCACTCCTATCTAATCCCAGAATAACCACAATGCCATCTGCACGACCTCCTGCCTCCCTGGCTTCCAGCTCTTCAGAAGCATCCTACTCCCCCGTGCCCGGCGGCGCAACCACCCATTCCGACGATCGCGACGACCGTTCCCCATCCACCACACCCACCGGCAACTCCTCCTCCAAGCCGGCCTCGGCCTCTTCAGCGGCCAACGCACAAGACAAGGACAAGCCGCGACTCACGGAGCAGGAAAAGAAGAATAACCACATTGCATCGGAGCAGAAACGCCGCGCCGCGATTCGGGAGGGCTTCGATCGATTGACCGAGCTGGTGCCTGGCTTGGAGGGCCAGGGTCGCAGTGAGAGTATTGTGCTTCGCAAGACGGTGGACTTTATTCAGCTTCAGCTGCAGGAACGACAGGAGTTGATTGCGGAGATTGAGCGTCGCGGTGGGCGCATTGATGATTCGTTTCGCAACTGATGCTGCCGAGGTCCGAGCGGCATGTTGCTGTTGATGATGATGATTATGACTTGCTTTTGGGGTGGATGAGACTATGCTACATGCGTCACGCGACTATTGGATAATATTTGGAAAGGAAAAGTCCGGCGCTGGGTCTTGACAGGTTGGTTGGTGATGGTGATATTGTGCAATTGCAATGGGCGATGGTTGTGGTATTTTACTTTTGGCCTCTACGGAGGCTTCTCGGCCAAGGGGCTTGAGGCGGAATGGCGTTGTATTGGTATATAGGGATGAGAAGGTCCTGGTTGTTAACTGCTGAGATTGTCACACTGCTGCATATATACATTGGCGGCATTATGAGTTCAGTTGTTCTATGAGCAAATACATGTTGATGTCAGACTGGATATGGCAATTACTGTCATGCAGCTTTCCATAACCAGTAGACGAGATCATGTGCAGGCAGACAAGTAGTACAACACCCATCCATTCTGAGGCATTAAGCTTAACTTTAATAGTACCTACTCCATATACAAACTCAGCCATAAACATGCAGCATGGACCACCATCACATGCACGCCCATCTCGTATCACTATCTCGTATCTATCTGCATTATCACAACTGCCGAGTCTCACCGCCCGTCTATCAAATTCCAACACCACCACCATTACCATATACCCAGCACCATATACACAACACCTGAAATAACACCTCAACCTCGCAAACCACACACATCACAAAAAATCAAGAGGACATCCCAAAATGTCCGACAGCAAACAATCCCTCCTCTCCCAAACGGAGCCCGAAACCGACGACCCACCCCCGGCCTACACCAGCACGACCAACACCACAACTCCCAACAAACCCAACCACCAAAAACGCGCCTCCCTCCTCCCTCGCCCTCCCCCGCTCTCTCTCCCAATCCTAACCCACCTACGCAACAAGCGCTTCATCCTGGCCTCCGCCTCCCCCCGCCGCCGCCAAATCCTCTCCCTCCTGTCCCTCCCCAACATGGAAATCATCCCCTCCAACACGCCTGAAGACCTCCCCAAGACCCTGCCCCCCTTCGAATACGTCCTCCAAACCGCCACTCTCAAAGCGCAAGCCGTCTACGCACAGGAAATCGACTCGCCCAAGGGCGACCCCTTCATTCTCGCCGCGGACACTGTCATCGTGGATACTTCCACCGGGAGTATATTAGAGAAGCCGCGCAGCGAGGCACACCACATTGCCATGTTGAAGGGGTTGAGAGATGCGGGAGAGCATAAGGTGTATACGGCGCTTGTGGCGATGACGCCGTTAGCGAGTGCGAGGATGCCGGGGTATGCGTTGGAGAGTTGCTTGGAGGAGACGAAGGTGTGGTTTGATCAGGGGGTCAGTGATGAGGTTATTTTGGCGTATGTGAGGACGAGGGAGGGGGCGGATAAGGCGGGTGGGTATGGGATTCAGGGACTCGGGAGTATTCTGGTGGATCGAATTGAGGGAGGGTTTGATAATGTTGTGGGGTTGCCGTTGAAGAAGGCGTTGTGGTTGATGGAGAGGGTGGTGGTTAGGGCGGATGATGAGGATTTGTTGGATGGGGAGGCTGGGGATGAGGATTTGGAGGAGGAAGAGGGGGAGTAATTATTCGTCTAATTCATGTGGGTGTTATTTAGGGAGGGGATGTGGTTATGTATATAGTGCAATTGAATTGGGGGGGGGAAACAATAAAGGTATATTTCAAAGTACATCTTTTATAGCTCGACGAGCCAAAATATGGAATCAGAACATGTACACAGAGAGAGCGGCACATACGCCCAAAACAAACCACAAGCAGCAATAAACTAAACCATATCACAAAACAACAATCCTAGGAGTCTATGCGTTCCACACCCGGCGGAGAGCCTCCGTGACACCGACGTCGTTCGTCTCGAACTCGTACAGACCGACAGCCGTGCTGAGGGTGAACGCGCGGAGCAGCCAGATCATGAAGGTGTGGGTCTTGGGGACACGGCGAGTAGGGAAGTAGTCGGTGATGGAGGCGCTGTCATTTATTAGCCTTTAGGACATAACTCACACGCGCGCGGCTCAATAAAGGCAAAGGGAGAACGTACTGGAAACCAATGTGCGAGTGAACGACGATAGCGGAGCAGATGACGGCGTCCATGACGGGGCTCATGGAGCCAGCAGCGAAGGGAGCAATGCAGAGAGGGACGAGACCGGCAGAGACGATTCTGTTATCCGTTAGCTTTCCAATCCCCTATTCATCAATGCCTTCAATCCATCCATATATATCCGATGGATATCTCAAGTGGAGGCAACGCACCTCTCAAAAGTCCAGTGGTAGCTACCCTCGGTAGGGTGAGACTTGGGGATGGGAGCGGGGTCGTTCACTGCGTCGAGCTGTCAGAGCATATTCCAAACATCATGCATGTCGTTTTCAAAAATCAATCATGGTCATCCGAGCACAAGTCGATATTCCCGGGTATCATTTCCCCGTAGACAAAACCAAAACCAACAACCGAGCAACCGGAGAATCACATACTCGTTCCCTGAATAGTCTCTGTAAACCACCCAACCCATTAGCATAACTCATCCCAAATATGCAATCGCACCCAATTCCTAGATAATCGACTCACGAGGCAAAGGAGGCAAGATCTGCTTCTTAGCGGAAGCATGAAAAGCCACGACCTGCGCGACATTCTTAGTCGCGAAGGGAGCGCGGAACGCCGACCGGAGGAGGGGAGAAGACTGGCGCGCGATGGAGGCCATTTTGCAGAATGTGCTTTTGCTTGAAGGAGTGGAGTGGAGGAGGTGGGAGGTGTGGTGACCGCGATGCTCAGCGCTAGATAGACACAAGCACAGCAAGTGACAGATGCAAAGGTGAACTGAAGTTGAGAATGGAACCTCGGGAGTCCGATCGGGAATACGGTCATCATATTGTCGTGGCTCTGATTGGCTGAGCGTGCTCCGCCCAGCCGAAAATGGCCGATGTGCCGGCAAAAGGTATCTATTATCGTTTCATTTTACTATCATTGCGATGGTGCTAAGAGGTGCATATGGGTTTATAATTAGACTAGTATTTCAGAGGAGGTAGGACTTGCTTCATTCAATTGGTTTAATCGCCAAGTATTGCGGTGCTGGGTTTGGATAGGAGACCTCATGTGGTTTATGCCTTAGGCATTACTCCCGTACCCGATTGCCGACAGTTATACGCAAGGAGAGAAGATTGACAGACATTCGGTCTGCTAAGACTGTGGTACCTGCATCATGGAATACAACTACTATGCTAATAGCAGCTACACATTATTGAAGTTAACAAGTGAATTCCGAACTGTACTCTATATCCAACCATCGTCTACCTCTAACGAGCCAGTTATCACATCATCCATATACACAATGCATACGAAGCCATCCCGATTGCACCGGGTCTTTGGATATTATAAACAAACACAATGAAGAAGAAAAAACAAACCTTTTGTCATGAACTGTATCTAGCAACCACTTTTACTCGCGGCAGATCATGTGGTCACGAGCAGGACCAGTACCGATCCACTTGACCGGAACACCACCCAACCCGCGCTCAATGTACTCAATATACGCGCGAGCATTGGCAGGCAGGTCCTCGTACTTCTTGACACCCATGGTGTTACTCTTCCAGCCGGGGAGGGTAACATACTCGACCTGGACCTTCTCCAGGACTTCCGGATCGGCCGGCATCGTGTTCTCCGTGCGGGTGCCGTCGGGCAGAATGTAAGCGACACCGACCTTGATCTCGTCAAAGTCATCGAGCACGTCCAGCTTGGTCAGGTTAAGGGCCGTGTAGTGGTTGATAGCCTGGGAGTAGCGGCACAGGACCATGTCGAACCAACCGCAACGACGTCTGCGGCCAGTGGTGACACCGAACTCCTTACCCACGCCCTGCAGCTTGTCACCAGCCTCGTTCAGCTGCTCACTGGGGAAAGGACCCGAGCCGACACGGGTGGTGTAGGCCTTAACGACACCGATGATGGAGCTGATGCTGGTGGGGTTGAGGGAGAGGGCCTGGACGGCACCGCCCAAACCGGTGGACGAGGAGGTCACGAAGGGGTAAGTGCCGTGGTCCAGGTCCAGCATGAGAGCGTTGGCGCCCTCGACGAGGGTGTTGGGGGCGTCCTTGTACTTCTGAAGGAAGGCCAATTGGTCGACGATGTAAGGGCCCAAGCGTTTACGGTATTCCTGGTTTTGTTAGATGCTCCTGGAAAGGTGCTTCCGAGACCAACAATACATGGCGAGGAGGGAGAGGTCATCCTACCTTGAAACGAGCAAGTTCCTCCTCAACGTTGTACTCCAGCTCGCCGAATCTAGCCCGGTAACCGGCGTCCAAAGAGCGCAGCTTACGCTCGAAGAGAGCCTCATCGAGAATCTCACCAACACGGACACCGCGACGGGCGGCCTTGTCACTGTAGCAGGGACCGATACCCTTGCCGGTAGTACCGACCTTGCGACCGCCCAGCTTGGCCTCTTCCAGGCCATCCACGACGGAGTGAAGGTCGAAGCAAACGTGAGCACGGTCGGAGATGAAGATGCGCTTTCCAGCGCCCTCCAGACCCTTGTCCTCCAGAGAAGCCAACTCCTTGAAGAAACTAGGGACGTGCACCACGGTACCGGCGCCAATCAGGTTGACACAGGAAGGGGAGACGAGACCGGAGGGAAGGATGTGGAAGTCGTAGGTCTTGTCACCATGAACAATGGTGTGACCGGCATCTATCCATTCCATTAACCATGGTTCTCCAGAGGGAAAATAGACGAGACTCACTGTGGCCGCCAGCGGCACGGCAGCAAAGCGTAGCCTGCTGCGCAAGCATATCGGTGATCTTCCCCTTTCCTGTATTCGTACGTGATCAGCCATGTTCCAATTCAGTTCACTCCCATCAGTCGATTTATCGACGTGAATCGACCTGTGAACTGCCAGGTAAATCAGATGACAACCCACCTTCATCACCCCACTGACTACCCAAAACAATTGTGACACCCATGATTCTGGAAATTGATTGTAAAGCCACAAAATATATCTCAATTAAGCAGCTCAATTGCAAAGACACCCAGTGATAGATCTCTTCGTTGTGTTCGTGCGACGCAAGAAGACAAAAATAGTTAGTCAAGATCGAACGGCAACGCGGGGCACTGAATGCGGGATGGAATGAGTCACTGATCTCAGAAGAGCAGCAGCAACAGTCTCTAAAGAAAAGAAGTAAGAGAGGATAGGATAGAAGTAAAGATCAATTAAAGCACACTGAGACAAATCTTGTAGAATAATCTGCAGTGACTGGAGCAGCAACGTAGGTTCCGTAGAAAAACCTCGCGACCGTCAAAATCCAAAAGCCGAAAAAAGAACCAGCGGAGGGGAACTGGCTGCGGAGGCAAAGAATGATATATGGGCGGGCGGGCAGTCAGTCTAGCGGCAGGGCCACACACTGGCGGGGGTGGCCGAACGGGACGAATTCGGTGAGACAAGAGAGGCAGAGCCACAGTTTTACTATACAGAGTAACTAAACGATAGCATGAGTGATTCCTGCTACTAATCCAATGCTTTTTTACTTACTTACCATACCGTTACCCTCAAATCCGGTTGTTGGGCGGGCCTTTCGGTGTTTCCCGCTTCCTCCCCATGACTCCTTCTTAGGGTCTCCGTATTGCCGGTACCGGTGGTCGTCCCCCGCGGCGGGGTCGGTCGGATGCGGTATTGGACGGCACAATACATCATTGCCTATTGTAGATTAGTGCACTGACAACCACTAAGCTAGGCAATATGAAGGCATTTCAAGTCAGATGATCTCGGCAGAGGTAAGTTTTTTCTTCCTAATATGGCTAGAGACCTTTTGCTCCAGAGGCACTAACGAGGGTGCCACTTGGGCAGAGGCCCAGATACGATCTATGTATTAGCAACTGAGATTGATTTTCTAATCAAGTACATTGATTGAATGATAAACTGACCAAAGATGGCATACGGATGGGTGATGCAAAGGTACAATGCAAGGATTGTTGGAACCGTATGTGTTCAGAGGAAACTTTGCTTGTACGCTACATTGGCGCATATAGATTATATCCAAATGCTGAGAAGCTAATAGTCTTGACTTTATATAAGTCCTTTTCGAATCACGCTCAATGGTTTTTTGAATGTGTCAAGCCCACTACAATGTGGCAAGCTGACAATGGGCGTGACGAAGAACTCCATCCCGGAATATAAGATATAGGAGAAATACCTAGCATATGCAGGTCCCAGCACTAAGGCAAGCTACTCTAAGGCTTTCACAGGCATTTTGCTGGGACCTGAGATGCGTAGATCATAGCGATCCCACGAAACACAGAGCTGACAGTTGAGTAATAAGGATGCAAGGGGTTACACGATCATGAGGTTGGCCGGAGATGTACAAAGTATAGTAGCACCTGAGGAACGCTACATTGCTATGTCAGCGCTGTTGATTCCCACAAGAGCAAAAGAGAAGGACATATACTGCGGGGTGATTAACAAGAAGGGGGGGAAATAAGAAAATAAAGCCAAATTGTGAATAAAGCAACAAGACATCTAAAATCATAGCTGCTGCTGATTACCCGTACACCATGCCGTGATGAGTCTAAGTGCGAACAGCTAGCATTTCTACGAAGAACCAACACGAAAAAGAATGTTCCGTCTTTTCCTTGCCTGCTAAACCATATTAAAGAAGGAACCATGGCCCATATGATCCAACCAAAAGAAGAAGGTAGCAGCCTTCCCTCGCGTCTCCTCACAGATCCAGAATGAACGACTGTCTATCTCTTCACTTCACTCTACCACCTGCACGTCTCATCCAATTCCCATCCATCCACCACACCTCGATCATCCGTCCATCAGATGCAGACAGGTCATGGACTAGGCCATTCAACATATCTGCCGAGGTGTACGACTATCCTCTGCATATCGCATTCCCAATCCTCTTTGCCAGCTCTTATGTCCTAATCATCGCTTACCTCAGCTCCATCAATCGCAGAAGATGCCACAAGCCATGGAGATTGACCCAGACCCGCTCCTTTCAATACCTGGTGCTGTTCCACAACATCAGCCTTGCAGTATTCTCCGCATGGGTGTTTTGCGGATTGCTCTCGACAGTCTACAGAAACCTTCCATCCATAAAGCGAGAAGCATACTCTGTGCACGTAGCCGCGACATTATGTCACATCGAAGGAAGATACATTCTCCATAATAGCGTACTCAACGCAACGCGCATTGTATGGGATACTGGTTATGGTGATGGCTTATGGCAGAGAGGCCTAGGATATTTCTGCTGGGTCATGTACATGTCCAAGTACTACGAGGTGATGGACACGGTCATTTTGATCCTGAAAGGAAAGGAGATCACCTTCTTGCAAACATACCACCATTCCGGAGTCATGATCGGTTCGTGGGCGCTCATGCGTTCGATATCACCTCACTGTCTGGTGGCTGCACTGTTAAATAGCGGTGTTCATGCATTAATGGTTCGTTATATCATCGCCTCGGATTTAACAAACAAGCATTTAGTATAAATCATCTTTCAGATATTGTTGCTAACCAGAGAGGGTCGGTGTTTTTGCAGTACCTATACTACGCTCTCCAGACGCTCAAGATACCAGTCCCAATGCACCTCAAGCGGACATTGACGGCTGTACAGATTGCCCAGTTCAGCATTGGCTATATCCTAGGTCTGTGCTATCTGTTCATTGCGTATGATTCACCGCATGCGCGCATCTCAACTGGCAGGGATGATGTTCTGAACGATGAATTGCGGCATAGTACTGTGGTACCCTGTCTGCATACCCCAGGTCACTTGGCCGTGCTACTGTTGGGGGGTCTGTATCTTGGGCCTCTGATCTATCTCTTTGTC